TTCATGGCAGGAAAAGAACACGTGCAGTTTCACCACATAGTTATTATAATATTACTTTGATTGTATATACTTCTAAAATCCTTCTGAACGTACTAATAGCTATCGTTGTTAAATGACCGTAAGTAACTTTATTTTAAATTTGATGCAAGTGATTATATACAATTTGGTACTTCATCACGCTAAAGGCAATGACAATGACATGCCTGTGTGATTTATCGAGTAGTATTGCTTATGATGACACCCTTAACAAGATCTCGCTCCCAACGCGACGTCATTTCTACTATCATGGCCGCTGCCAGAGGAGGCCGACTGTCATTTAGTCGCCCTTCTCAGAGATGGCCTTTGATGAAGTCACTTGATCATCTTTCCAAGTATCCTTCGTCCCTGAAAAGCACGTCGGAATCAAATCAACTATGCCTAATTTGCCGCCAAAGAATTCTCCGTGCTTTAAACTCCGCCTCATCAAATCAATTGTTGACAATTTCGATGTTTCTCAAACTAGGTCTGCTCTTGTAAGATAATTTACAGAATCGATGTATCACTCCGCGACGGGGACAACGCGACCGAATTACTCCCGCAGCGAACAGGAGTCATTTGGAAAGTTTCAGTCTTTCTATTGAAAAAAGTAACTCGATAACAACTGCTTTTCGGAATGTCGTAATTGTGTTGAGCGGATAATAAAACCAAAGCATTTAACCAAGAGCATATTGAACTTTCATATTTCTATGATTGTGTTGTCCTTGCTCATTTCAAGGTATCAAAAGACACCCATAGACACTTTGCGGCATGTCGTAATCTTGTTATATGTGAGGAATTGCATCTCATAATAAATTTAGATAAACCAACAAGCCCATTGACCGCGTTTTTAATTCAATACTTCTCTTATTGAAGCACACTTGTGCATTCGGACAACCGACCGATGAATGCGCAGTCCTTTGGTTCCGATATTGGCTGAGGCAATGATAGAAGGAAATAATTTATTGAAGACCAGATTTTCTGTTCTTCTAAATATCACCCGTCAATTCCTTTCGCATACCGAACTATTTTGTTTGATCAGCTAACGTCATTCCGGTGAGCCAAATAAATAGAATATAAAGTAAGAGAAATACGCCCACACTTTGTTAGTATCGGCCCATTCATTTAACGCCCTAACTGCTTGTGTAGGCGTAAATTGTTGTGTCTTTATTGAGAAAAAATATCAATATTTACATATCGCTTCCTCGCATTGGCGTCTTCCGACTATCTTGCTTAGCGGTAACGTCAAAGAACGGAAGCATTAACCCACGTCGTGAAATTACGAGACTTCTGTAGATAACTATCTCGCTGTTGACAAATGCTGCTTAGCAAACTAGAATTATCTTCATTTGGTGTGCAGGGCAACACGGGAACGCACGCTGTCATGTCTGTTACATACACCTCTATGACTTGATAACCAAATGGAGTTTTCTCATGACGTTGTTAGTTTCCCGCCCGCCCAGGAGGGGGCGCGCCGACAACTTCCGCCATTTATTGACCGGCTCGCTGGCTCAACTCCAATAATTAATCTTCGCTTGTAATTGCTCTGCTATTTGGACCATATTTGGACACTGAACGGGGATGACTCCCTTGAAGGACAATTATCGCAGCACCACGTTGCTTTACGACGAGAGATATTTGACTAAAAAGGAAAATAGCGGTATTTCAAATCAGCGCTTGATCTAGCACCAGCTGCGTGAATCTGACCCCTCCCCCATGCCCCCGGGCGTTGCATGTCAGGCAGTGGACACTCCTGGACACTGTCCACCCCGAGGGACGACCAGCGCGCGTCAGTTACACCGCTTCTAATTTATAGTCGATCGATAGCCATCAACCGAAACAATAGGTCAGCGAAAAGCATAGGTCTTGGCTAAATATCCCCACCACGTGTTGCGATAAATACACGTTTGTGCGGAGATTTGAAGGATATTGTCAGATACATGTATAGATGCTAGATCGAGGGCGTGGTGCTTTGATGATGGTAGATGAGGTAAAATGATTATTCCATGGTCATATTCAGTTATTAATGAGGTAAATATGTCTGTCTAGACTGTCATTCAACTGATTTATTCATATATTCATCAGTAATCGATTAAATTGATGTCGTCTTTCCGCCTAAATTGTCAAATTCGATACCCAGAACCATGGTATCAACAGTATTGTCAGTCCACACCTGGTATACCCAACCAATCGAGCAGTGTTTACGAGCGTTGGTATTGTGGCGAAATATCGGATGTAACGAACCGCTTGTAATAACTAACGTTATCGTAGCGAAACATCGGTTATATCGAACGTTATGCAAAGGTCCTTGAACATCGATATATCCGGACTGAAGTCTGATCATGGCAGTATCACCGTATTTGGTCTGCACAGCCTTGACGTGGAAACTTTCTCATTACTACATGGATTGCATCATGTGACGAGACGTGATAACAATTTGGACTACCGTCCTCAACATAAGATTTCCAAAGTGCACATAAACCCCAGTTTGTACTCACTGCTGTGCTAATATACTTGCCTGGCGTTAATCCGTTAAAAAAGACCACTCGATGTATGACGTCAATATGAAATAAACACGTTTCAATACCTCTCAAATTAAATCCCATATGGATAAAGATTTGGAATCATTCTTAAAATTCGAGTTAAGCGGTAGGGTGTAATCAATTATGTTTGACCCGATTACAAATCACAGGATATTAAAGAGTTAGGATGTTATTATGAAGTTGTTTCGTACGCGCCCCGAGAGCCCCTTTAAGTGATATCCCTAAAGGGCCATCCAGTACGCTACTCGAAAGACGCTATAATACACTATATTTCTCGTTTGAATGACTACCCTGGAACACGATCACTCCAAAGGCAGTTGAGTAACAATCAACAGTCACTGTTTTTGTGTGCTCGTAAAGAAGTGACAGAAAGCTTTTAAATGACCATTAGTTGTAATGCTTACGTTATATTGCATTTTCATAATACGTGAGTGTGGATTTACGCCGCTTTTAGCAATATCACGTCGGAGAACACCAGAAATAGGCTTCACACATTGTACCCATGTGGGGACTCGAACCCGGTACTTCTGAGTGACGAGCGAACGCTTTACCCCTACACTACCCTATCGTCCTGTCATTATGAATTACGATGACAGTCGATATAATGCATGTCTATAAATAAATGATTGTGAACTAGATAAAACGTCATATTGTGCCAATTGCGTTGATTTTTTCGCATAAGAGCTTGTCTTGAGTTTGACATATAAAATATCGAGAACCCTAATGTTAAAATAATAAATCCAGTATTTCTATTGTAAACATACACATTTAATTATTCACATAATCAAGAAAAAAATAATTACCCTCGGAGAATGAAAGACTCCGTTGGTCATGTCCTTGTTCAACTAAATGTTGATTTTAGATTATAACAGTATCTGTCATCCGTCACCTTTCATCTATCGCATCTAGACAGTAAAATGAGTGACATCATATCTTGTTAATATCGACAAGCACCTGTTGTACCAGCTGCTGCGTTCGCTTCACGAATCTCCCTGTCAGCCAGCATCTATCACTGTGTGCCTGGCTGTCCCTACTCTGTACAGTTCGTCAATCACAAATTGACATCGATTTGAGGGAAATGGATACATCCTCTAATACCAAGTGTTGATTTCTGAATTGTATGCTAGAGTATCCTGCCGCAGTAAATGCTGCATTTTATTAAGTATCATATACATACACATGTATGTATGTATGTATGTATGTATGTATGTATGTATGTATGTATGTATGTATGTGCGCGCGCGTGCGTGCGTGCGTGCGTGCGTGTGTGTGTGTGTGTGTGTGTGTGTTTTTGTGTTTACGGTGTGCATTAATCTGTCTTTCAGGCCCTGATACAAATATATCCAATACAGCCCATGCAAGTCTATAATGTTTGGCAAGTCTATATTTCTGCGGCATCTGAAAATGAAGAAAGTCTCTGGGCTCCTTTTTATTACATTTTTATTAAGATAATTTAACAACTATTTTATTCTGTACTATATGTTCATTTCAGAGACAATACGTTAGTCTAGGTGTGCATCCCGGTTCTCTTTGATTGTTTATGGTAATGTCCCAGCTCTCTGTATGTGTTTTACGGTATGCACCCAACTCTGTGTGATTTACGGCATGCAGTCCAATTCTCTTTATGTGTTTTACGGTAAGCACTCACTTCTCTTTGTGAGTTTTACGGTATGCAATTTTTATGTGTGTTACTGGATATGTTAACAATCTTAGCCTACACCAGTTTTGAACGAAATCTGGACAGTGTCAGTTTTCGAATTTTGACTGCCACAATTGTGTTTCACCTACCACGTTTATTTAACGTGGAGTTATTTAGTTAATCATGTACAGTGTGGATTTCAGAGTAATTAAAGTAGCAATAGATGCGATATGGAACTTACACTTAGATTTTAATTCATATTTTGATAAAGACAGATTAAAAAATGAAGCGACAGTGTATTTCTAGACGTGAGATTATTAGTTCGATAAATCTAATACGGCGTGTGCTGTTACGGGAGTGATTGTGTTTATGTCGCCCATTAACAACGTGGATGACTCGTGTGTTATTTCCGTGGTGTGTTTGCTTGTAGACCCAAATAACAGATCCATTTTCTGTTACGGAGACCTTATACCACGACAATACGAAAGACGAAATCACTTGTCGAGGAGATCACTCATCGAATAAGTCAGTATCGATCGATTGGACAGCGTGGGAGGGGAGGGGGGAGAATGGGGGAGTGATGTCACAACTCTCCATCCTCCCCAGCATAATCTCGGTCTGAAAAATCCCAACGGCCAAATTACTGTGAATGAAGCTGGCGAGTGATTCCGTTTCGATTTAGCTCAGCGCTCACTCCCGCGTGCAGCTTATGATAAACATTAGTGGGAGGGGGAGATTCGCTGGCTGTGGCTACGTCATAAGCAATGTGATTGGCTCAGTCGGGCTGTATTGTTGAGAATGAGGCAACCTGTTGTTTCACTCCAAAATGGTCCTTCTCAATCGGTGTGACATAATTCCCGTTCTAACGTAGCTAACTCGAGCTGCTACCAGCCTTACTGATTTGACGTCACAGCGAACGGGACATGCGATTGGCTTATCGAAGCAGAGAGATCGATTATTAAAATAACACGGGCAAAAGCCGCGTATTAACGGGATATGTGAGTGGCGTTGAATCTGAGGCTTACACTGCTGTGAACGCAGCGAAGACAAGGCTGTGCGAACCATCACTAGTAACTCTGGCTTACCCACACATCCGGAATACCAAGCGCTGGTCGAGGATATTGAGCGGACATTTGACTTTCATAAACCAGAGGTAAGCAATACCGTTGCCTGACAAGCGACATGTGGCTTGTCAAACCACAATGCACATGAGTTCTCTAAGCAAATAACACGTTGATATGAACATGATTTATTGTCAACACAGGTCAACACTCACGTATTATGTTACAATTCGTCTACAAGACGTTACTGTTATCTATATTGAGAGTTGATCGCCCATATCTTATTTTCTTAAATATGCATTAATCTTAAGTGAAAAACATCACTCCATTCATATGTTTAAGTGTCTGGCGAAAAACTTGCTTACTCATGACTTTAACGTTTTTTTAAGCTAGCATAAAGCAAAGGGATGTCAAAACGAATGGTCCCCCGTGTCATGGTTTCCTTTTCATACGCTTGTTCGCTTAATGATTAACCTCCTTCATGAAACATTCCCGTCTATTGCTATCGATGTGTAATTGACAAAGTATAAGTGTGTTATTAACATGGAGCTGAGTGCATTGAAGTGAAATACACACATATACACGACTCCATGCAGCGTGTCTGTGATTCGATGACACACTTTATTCCTGAACAGGCACCACTGCCCCAGGCTAGTGACATAAGACCGCACAGGGTTCATTAAAAGCCGGTCATAGACAACACCATGCTTGTCAGTCATTGGCATGCTATGTACAACCCTTGTGATGCTATTGCACCGTGTTATAGAAAATAGCATATCATATCTACAAAACATATCATGTTTCTGTGATTTCGTATCTGGATACTGAGTGTGATGCTTTCGGTTGAAGAAATTCGCGCTGCGTGGATCTTTGCACGCACTGAATATATTGCCTTTGACAGGTGCTATGTCCAATCGTCAAAACTGGCAGCCACTGGATTAACCTTGCTATAAATACAGTATAACAGCTTCTGTCTCTTGGAGTGTATTAAAGATGTATTGATCAAGTTCGCGAGGGAGGCTCCGGTCTGTTTTATGAGACAAATGTCACATTTATAGCAACATATCCCGTACTGTGAATATGTGCATCTCGTTAAGGCACGGAGCCACTATATCAGTGTAAACTCGCGTGATACAATGAAATTGTATATTAGACGTACATGCTATAGTTATGGTAATAGAACGCATATAAAACACAAGAATTCTTTGACATTGTCAGACGTTATTATAATGAAACGCATAATCCAGTGTCTAATGTCAGGATTGCTTCCTGTTTGAATGGCGTATGCATTCATGGTTTGACTCGCATTAGGAATGTATACCCATTGTGTAACGAGAAAGCACGTACGTGGCGTGTACCGTAGGACAGGTGAAAATGTAGGATGCTCCTGTAACAGCGAATATCTTGACTTATGTGTTACATACCGATCCACGAGACAATTGGAGGTCAAGCACTGAATTCAGGTTGATGAATTGTATGTACCAAACCTGAGAAAAAGTCCGCCTACATGCAGCTCGACTCCCCATCACACAAGCTCAGGTAGTCAACCTGTCAGTTACCGTTATACCGTGTATGTGTGCCACCTTATGGTCCCACAGCTGTAGGGAGGTCGGGTAGCCTAGGGGTTAAAGCTTTCGCTCGTCACGCCGAAGACCCTGGTTCGATTCCCAACATGGGTACAATATGTGAAGCCCATTTCTGGTGTCCCCCGCCGTTATATTGCTGAAAATCTCTCCCATCACACACACGCTCAAAGCAGTCAACCTGCCAGTTACCGTTATACCATGTGTATGTACCACCAATGGTCCTACAGCTCTACCCTCCCATCACACACACGCTCTAGCAGTCAACCTGCCAGTTACCGTTATACCATATATATGTACCACCAATGGTCCTACAGCTCTACCCTCCAATCACACACACGCTCCAGTAGTCAACCTGTCAGTTACCGTTATACCATGTATATGTACCACCAATGGTCCTACAGCTCTACCCTCCAATCACACCAACTCAAGCAGTCAACCTGGCAGTTACCGTTATACCATATATATGTACCACCAATGGTCCTACAGCTCTACCCTCCAATCACACACACGCTCCAGTAGTCAACCTGTCAGTTACCGTTATACCATGTATATGTACCACCAATGGTCCTACAGCTCTACCCTCCAATCACACCAACTCAAGCAGTCAACCTGGCAGTTACCGTTATACCATATATATGTACCACCAATGGTCCTACAGCTCCACCCTCCCATCACACACACGCTCGAGCAGTCAACCTGCCAGTTACCGTTATACCATGTGTATGTACCACCAATGGTCCTACAGCTCTACCCTCCCATCACACACACGCTCGAGCAGTCAGCCTGCCAGTTACCGTTATACCATGTATATGTACCACCAATGGTCCTACAGCTCTACCCTCCGATCACAGCAACTCAAGCAGTCAGCCTGCCAGTTACCGTTATACCATGTGTATGTACCACCAATGGTCCTACAGCTCTACCCTCCCATCACACACACGCTCGAGCAGTCAACCTGCCAGTTACCGTTATACCATATATATGTACCACCAATGGTCCTACAGCTCTACCCTCCGATCCCATCAAACACACGCTCGAGCAGTCAACCTGCCAGTTACCGTTATACCATGTATATGTACCACCAATGGTCCTACAGCTATACCCTCCCATCACACATACGCTCGAGCAGTCAACCTGCCAGTTACCGTTATACCATGTATATGTACCACCAATGGTCCTACAGCTCCACCCTCCCATCACACACACGCTCACGTAGTCAACCTGTCTAATACTGTTATACGCACGCGTGTGATCGCAGATTAAACTGGAAACTGTAGCTCTGGTTTGACATTAATTCTTGCTTCAGCTATTGCACAGGACATTGATACATTGGTAGCAGACTTATTATTTCAATATATCGGACAGCAACCCTCTATGTGAGTATACCTTGGCGTAGAATTGCCGTTGGTTCTTAATTGTTATTGATCAGGTATTTTTCACCATCCCTATCGATTCAAAAGCTGCCCAGCGTTTTATGACCAAGGATTCCACTGATTATCTGTCAAAATTCCGCAGCTTGTTTGTCGAAATGATCCCAGTCCAGCCTACTCGAGTCTCCTGTCAAATCCGCACTGGTGTTGTTTACATCGAAATTGATCAGGCCGTTATCACAGAACCCCCATGGGTTAAGCATAGAAATATGAAATGTGATTGCAATGGGCAACGCTTTGTTTCATCAAAATTACACATTTGTTTGGAGATGGAATTACGATCGCGAGCCATATTAATTTCTAGATGTAATATATTGTTGCCTAATCTATCAAGGCTGAAGTACAGCTTGACATTACAGTAACGATTTAGAAATTTCGCTAAATGCTGAATCAGCAATTTATCAGATCAGCTTTCGTGGCTAATCAGCTTCATCTAAGTTTTCAGTTCTTTGGTGGTTATTTTTATACATATGTTTCATATTTTCACGGGTTCTCTGCTTCAGAGATCGATGATGCAATAGAAGTGATTGTACACGCAAGAGCAGTCGTACCAGACTTGAAACTCTGGTTGCAATGACCTGGCACGGGCTGTTTGAATACCACATGACAAGAATGATTTAACTACAGAACAAATTAACTCCTCACAGCTGCCCGACGTGAACACTTAACTCTGTTCTCCCACATTCAACTCGTGCAATTTTGGTCGTTAGTGATAATTACACTCTGATATGAATATCCAACGTAACCTTCGGATATACCACATGAAGGTCAAACAATGACTATATTATTGTGTATAACACTACTTTCAGCCGCGTGCATATAATTATGGATTTCACGATTGGAAATAATACTTCATGTTAATCAGCATTATTCAACCATAGTGAGTAATACGAGAACAATGTTTTCAGAAGTAGTTGAAATGGAATATGTGATATTATATGAATCAAATATGTATATGTATATACCAGTACGTCTTATTAATATTAAACTGATTCAATCGAGGTTTTGTAATTAACATTGGTTTCCGCAATATTATATTCATGAAACATTTGCGCCAATCCTTGAGTGCTTTGTTTGAGAGATATAAATAGGTGACTCTTTATACAGTTTTATAACATTGAGCTGTTTCAGAGATCGAAATCAATAACACACTAATGGACAGCTTTGAGGCTATTTACAAGCCATACGGCTGAGCTGAGGTTGTTAAGTTTCAAAAACACACCGATTACTCCCTCTTTCGTCATAGTTGAAGCCCATTCTAATGTCAGCTTCCAAACCATCCATCCTTCGCGTGTCATCCCTACAGGCATGACGCAAATCGTTTGAAAATTCATAGACCAGCAAAAGCATCTCAATTGTCAATTTCATGTTGATTTCATCTGTTAACGAATTAGGCTAGTATGAGAAACTGCATGTGTACATGTATGTCTCCCTGACCTACATAAGTTAGAACATGAGCTGTTGTAATCGCTAGCAATCGTTTTCTCGCTTCTCCGGTGTCAAGGAACAGTTTTTGCTAACGCTGTGACAATTCCCAAGAAGTTTAGTCACGTTTTTGCGGAACCTATACGAAGTATATTGCAGCTCATTTCAAAGAAAAACGAAAACCATTCTAAGATTGTTTACCTTCGCTCCTCAAAACATTTGACGGATGTTGTGCAAACGTTAAAAGATAGCATCCTGACCTAGCTACATGCTTGTCAAAAAGTGTTTATTAAACGAGTCGCACATGTGGTCGCTTGGGAATGTTGGAAGCAAGAATTTTGTTTCTTGAGAACAGCCAATGGTATTTTAGATTCTTAAAATGACATTCCATGAAATCTATACCAAAATTAGGGCAGTGTGACCAGCTAACACTGACACATATGTAATATTGATCGACATTCGGCTAGTTGCAATGTACAAGATACAACACATGTCGATATCAGTTGTATAGGTCATGAAATTGTCTGCACATCTTGAACTGTCAGCAAATGACGCGTACATAATTCTGGGATCTTCCAATACAGCGCACCTGCGCTCAGCACACAAGCGTATATGTCCCGTTATATACTAAGGGCTTAACGGTGTTTCGCT